ACTGAGTTTTTCTAACCTGAACGAAAAATATCATGCCAGTTCTCCTTCCCCTCCGTATCCCAAGGCGCGGGGGTGGGAGGAGGGGGAATTCTGGGAATTGAAGTCCACCCATCTTACAGTTGCCAAGGTTGAGAAACACTGATCTGGGGGAGGCTACTGGCACACCAGCAGAAAAACCCACAGCTCTCCACCCCATCATTTTGTGGAAGTGGGGAATCGCTAGCAGGTTCTCTCAGAAAACATGAGTCAGGCAGCTCAAAACTGGTTCAAGAGGAAAGTCCTGCAATTAGGACTTGAAAGGTTAAAACCAGCATTGCAAATTGCATTCAGAAGCAAACAGGTAGCCCGCGCAGGACCCAGAGTTTGCATGCTCAAGCTGGTTTGAACTAGCCAGTACGCAAACAGTGAAGCTTCTGGGTGGTTTGTAAAGACAGCTTCATTTTAAGGGATTCCAGGGCTACCTTGCTAGGCACCGTTCATGATCACAACAGTCCTATAAGGTAGGCCATTCTCCTTGCCACCCCACTGTACATAGAAATGTGGAAGCTGAGACCAAGAGACAATGTCCAAGATGCTTGGTGGTTCCTTTCATGCAATTCACTGACCCCCGATGACGGAATTAACCCACTTCTGCATTGGCACAACACCCCAAACTATTAGCAGCCTGGATGCCACAAGCTAGGCTTGTCCTGCATGTCTGCAGCCTGCAATTCCTTACATTAAGGGGGATCCAGCACAGGAAATGTTATCCAAGGCAGGGAGCACGAGGAACGTCCTGTGGATCGTGGCGTCACCCTGCCAATGATGTCACTGGCGCCAACTTAAGTGGCATCTTTTGCAGGACGCTGCCGCAACGTGGGCGACCTCGCTGAGGCTGGAACCAGACGCCCACAGTCAAAGCTTCTGACGCAGCGGCTTGTGACACCTTGCAGCCACCAACTTCTCAGAGCAAACTTCGGCGGTAACACGTTGCAAAAACACATCCGCCTGCTCTAGCAGCAGAGAAATAAAGACCGGGGGGGGGGGACTCCCAACGTCCCAATCAACAGGGGGAGTCCTTGCCCCCCCGACCTCAAGCAAAGCCCCACCACGACCCCTCGCGGACCCCGGAGTCCCCGACCTCCCAGCCCTGGTGCTCCCTCGGAGCTGCACGAAATCTGCTTTTCCGTCCGTTCGGCTTTCGGAGGAAGCTGCCACCGTCCTGGGCCGCCCCGGAGGGCTGGAAAAACAAGGCTTGCGCTCAACCGGTGCAACTGGTTGGCGAGCCGAGCCCCGTGCCTGGCAGAGGTGAAACGCAGCTGTTTCCCTGCGGAGCGCCTCCCATCAGCTCGCTACTCACCTCCTGCATCCTTTCGAGAGGGCTGGCTTATGGCTCAGGTGGCCGATTGCCCGTCACGCACATCTGGCCAGGAGTTCCTCTCTCTCTCTCTCTCTCCTTCTCTCGCTCTCCCAGCCAGGCTGCCTCTCTCCCAATTGGCCAGCTGGTCACATGACCATGACTTCACCCATCCTGGCATGCGAGGAGGAAGGTGACCATTCACTTGTTAGCAACGGCGGGGGGGCAGGCGTGTGGGCGGCGGCCTCGGCCTTTCAGCACCAGGCTCCACTCCCTGGGGAGCGCTGCCAGTCGGGTGGGCAGGCGGCTTTCCCCGGAAAAGCACGCTGGCGCTGGGCCGCAAAGGAAAGACACCTCCCCCCGAGCCCTGGCACTCCCTCTGGGCTCAGGGCATCCTGGCGGGGCAGGAGGGCAGCCGGGAGATCCCTCGATGCTCAGCCTCGCTCTCAGCCAGCCGGGCGGGCGGAGGTCGCACCGCATGGAAAGCTGTGAAAATGCCCGAGTCAGATTTGCACCTGATGGACCCACACAGAAACACTCCAGCAGACAAGCGGAGGCTGGATCTCCCTGCGGAAGGGGAAGGGGGGAGCAGGGACGCTGCCAGTGGGGGGGGGGCTGTTGAAGGCCCTTCCCCCCTTCTGTCACCTGTCCTAACATCTGGCTGCGCTGTGTCCCCCAGATGTAACTGGGCCGCCCATCCTCCCGCAGACCCCCTTGCTGGCTGCAGGCCAGGCACACAGTTACGCCTGCACAACTGAACCTAGGATCAACTTAGCTACCGCGTAGGCACAGCAACCTAAACCTGGCTAGGTTAGCCTTTGCTCTTTTTCCTTTCCTGGTTTAGGCGGTAATATGGACCCAGCTAATTTGGTCAACCTTTGACTCAAAAATTGGCTGCATTCATATACCTTAAGCTGGTGCTGAGTTAACCCCCCTCTCCGCTCTGCACGATGCACGGAAGCACACTTGAACTGTCCAGACCAAGTCTGCCCAACAGATTACGGCAGAAGAAAACTAACCATGGTTCATGCTTAACACCTGCATCAGCTAGAACGTTACCAGGCCTGACCACAGCCATAACGTGAGTGCATGTTACTGAAAAAAGACTCTGTTCTCACCACATGCTAAACCAGGTTACTGAATTAACCCATTTCCTGAACTGAAACACCGAACCCTATCCTAAACGGCCTAGGAGACTGATTTCCACAGCAGCAAAGCCACCAGATCCAAATCAAAGTTAAAAGCAAACCGCTAAAAAGGGAAGGGCTTGAATTTTTAGTTCGTACCTTTATGTTTTTTTCTAAACCTTTTTCTTTAAGTTTAGAGATTGCTGTGTTAAAAAAAAAAAAAAATATAAAATTTTTAGAATTTAAAAAAAAAAAAAA